ATACGTATTTATTTACATAATAAATAACTGATAATAATAAATTTGACAATCAAAACATAGTTTTTTTAACGATCTTCGCATATTTATTTATGCTTAACAGTAAGATTTATTTTAATTTATGTAAATCATTTTCTAATTTAAGAATTTTTTATATATAAAAAAAAATCCATATAGTACCAGCACTAGTACTAGTGGATTAATTAAGAAGAATAATAATAATTCTCATTTCATTGATATTGTCGATATTGTTTATAATATATGGTATATATGAACTTCCCCTCAAAATTCAATGAATTATTTCTTTCTAAAAAATTTTAAAAATATAAAATGGATATTTGAATTTTTACGTATTAATATTTGAATTATGAAATAAGCACTTTGTAATATTGATTTTGTTGCGTTTGATATCCTAGTTCAAGCTTTTATAATAAATAATAAATAATTTTGTTGTTGGTGGTTAAGGTGGTTGTGGTAATAATAGCAATTGGATAGATAATTATTCGATATGTATGTGTCTTTGTATGTATATATTTTTTTTATTTTTTGCATTAAAAGGAGACAATTGTTAAATTAATTAAATAAAGATGGATGATCTTAGCACACATACATTTTATTAGTTACACTGCACAATTTCATTATTTCATTTCCTATATGAAATAATATAATCATTTTACCCCACTAAATGAAGAACTTTTTAAATTTACCACATTTTTTTTGATTGATCTACTTTTTATTGTTATTTATTCTTGTTTCATATATATATATATATATATATATATTGGTACATTAAATTATTAATTTAATATATTTAAAAAAAACAAGTTTAATGTCAAGTTTTTTTTTTTAAAAATATTTGAGTGAAACAAAGGTAAAAACGCCTTTTAAAATGTTTTAATGGATTAATATTATTATCTACATGTTTGTTTATATTTACATAGAATTTACATGTTATGTTTACATAGAATTTTACATGTTATGTTTACATCAACTCACATTAAATTTGTATTATACAAATTTATATATTTATTTATTTAATCAGCAATAATAATTAATTCAATTGTTAAATTAAATAGTTCTTTTTATATACAAAAACTTGAAATATAACTCGTTATTTACTACATTCTATATTATTTATATTATGCAATATATGCAGTATGATGATTTTCATGCAAGAACGTATTTTTAAAAGAGGTACAGACGGTATTTCGAAACTTTGAAAACAAATAGATGTGATTTTTAATGTATCTTACCGAAGAAAAGATCTGCGTATTTTATAAAAACATAAACTATATAAACACCACAAACATTTTATTAATTCCCCAACCCATACATATATATATTCAAGAACTTTGAATAGCAAGGTTTATTTGGATAAATAAAATCTAATTTTAATGCTATATTCTCAAAATCACCCCCCCTCCCTTCTTGCTCCATTGGCACTTTTAAATAAACCATTGTTTTTTAAAATTGCTTTTATTGTTATTCCAAATTTTAGTTCAATAACATTAATAAATACATTTATGAATTATAAGTTGTCAACGGCAAATTCTTTTGAAATGCGACTCTTTGCTTGTCAATAGACAAATATAATAATAGCATTTTAATTCTCAAATTTTTTAATAAAGGTAAGTTTTGTTGATTCTATTTAGATAAGGGGACTGCACAACCCCATATGGGGTTAAAACTGGTATCCAAAATTGTTTTTGGTTTTTCAGTATTACTGATATTTTTAGGATTCCAATGAGGGGATCTCTTAAAAATCATAAATTTGTTAGTCATGTATGTAATAAATAGTGAATGGTAAGTGTAATAAATTAGATTAGATAAAGAATATGATCGTTTAAAACACGTGCAAATAATAAACAATAATAAATGTAAGCAGGGAAAGAAAAACAGCCAATTACTAGTTTTTTCCATGTAAGTAATAATTATACAAAATAATTAGAGCCTTTCCAGGGTTTAAAATGAGTTCGGGATGTTCATTCATCGCATATTGTAAAGACCCGTTACACAACTAACTAAAGAAGTATAATAATGGTCTCCTCCATTGGGAAGATTTTCCTGTGGAGGGGCACAAGAGTATTTTTGAGAAATCTAATTGGTTCGAAGAAGCAAAATGTAAATGTTAATATTGATTTCTCTTTAAATGTCAAAGACGACTTTTTTTATGAGGAGCTCTCAATGTAAGCTAGATATATATTGAGCCATTTAAGACGTATTTTTTTTTTTAGAGTTTAAAATTTATTCTTATTTAAAATGAGAAACTTCCTGATAAAAAAATAAAATACAATAACTATGTTTATTAAAACTTACTCGTGTTAAATTTATGGCATTACTACATATTCAAGAACTTTGGATAATTGTAAATGGTGAAGATGATGATGACGCTTCAAAAAGATTTGGCATGGTTAGGGAAATTAGGTAAATAATTGAATCGCAAATGTATTATTTTCATGTTTTTAATATATTATTTAATCTTTTATTTCTGCTTTATTCAAAAGGTGCATTTAAAGATAAAAGAATCATTGTGATATATTTGTTCAAATATCTGAAAAGCTTCAAAATCTAGAAATTCTTAAATTCAATAAATTATAATTGTCCAATTAATTGCTGCTTCATCTGACAACAACACCTAACAACTCGTTTACTACATTTACTATGTATGTGGCTATGGAGATCCAACGTAAATCTGAGGCATGCATCAACAGAACTTTTATCTTTTACACTTGTTTGCTTTGCCATGGATAGAATCCCAATCTTTTGATCCAATGACAGTTGGCTGTAATTTAATTAAAAATTCTATTCATTAGGTCAATCTCTCAAGAAGTGTGTCAAAGAATCCAAGCTAATGAATGTAGATTTATTATTATTGATATAGTGTTCACATAAATATTGTATATTTTTATTTTTTATATCAATATTAAACTGCTGCTAATAATTGGTTACACCAATTCATTTTATTAAGGTCTTTCCTGGGTGGGTTTTGGAAGAAGGTGATGAAGCATGTTACATCTTTTTTAAAATGCTTTCATATTTCATCTAGTAAAATGATGCTGATTTAGTTGAATTAACTGTAATCCATGATCCAAAGAGTCTGTCTTTTAAAGAACCATCCCATTGACACAGTGATTTCTAGTAGTATTTAATGGTAACCAACATCAGTTTGTGAGTGAAACCATCCAAAATGATTTAATTTTTCTTACATTAGTTAGTATAATGATAAGTCACACAGCCAACCAAATATATAATTTTTTAATTTCTAAAAAATTTTTTTTGCAAGTAAATTAATAATGAAAAGTATCAAACAACAACACAAGATAAAAATAATAAAAAACCATCATTGATACAATCATCATCATTACAGCTGCAATTACCACGCTACAAAAACCACAAAAACTGCCACTCCAACCTCTCCTTGTTATAATTAAAATGCTTTTAATTTTAATTTGTTACTTGAAATTTACAAAAAAAATTATTTGCAGAAAAAATTTCCACGAGAATATATGTGTGTTCTAGCTAATCAATTGGTAGATAATAAATAATAATGCATTCTTAAAAAACCTCTAATTTATCTATTCGTTCGTTTCCTTTATTTCTGGTGTGATGTTTTTCTCGTGTGACAAATTGTGGTATGTGGTCCACAAGACCGACCGAATTTATTATTAATTTATATTAATTTATATATATAAATAGACTTTTTTTTTTAAAGCTGACAAACTTACTGCATTAAAACTTATAGTTAAACTCGAGATTAAACTTATCATTATAATTAGACTCATTACACGTACACATTACACACAAAAAATAGGCTCGACACACTAGACTCAAAATTAAACTATATTTATAGTGTGTTTTGATGTTTTGTGTGTGAAAATAAATTTTTCTTCTAAAAAAAAAAAAATTCAATTTAATAAATAAATAATCAATAATATACACGCGTGAATGCATATTTATTTACAATAAAAGAATAATAAAAAATAAATAAGTAAATATATTAATTAATTTTAATAATATTTATGTTTATTTTTATTTATATGTGGTAGATTTTTTTTTACACAAACATACATGCAAATAAAAATGTCTCCTTTTTTTTTGACTTTTTTACTTGTTTTGTATACATACAACTCAAAAGATAGATTGTAACACTACATACATATTTATTTTGCAGAAAAAATGCACATATCAGATATATACATCTTATCTCATATAATTTTATAATAATTACAGTTTTTTTTTTTGTTAATAATTACATAAATAAATAATAAAATAAATAATAAAATAAATAAATAATAAATAAAATAAATAATATATGTATAAATAAATATATAAAATAAATATTTATAAAATAATAAAAATGTTTATTATTATTATTATTATTGCTATTAATGTAGATTAGTTTTTTTTTTAATAAATAAATAAATAAATAAATAAATTATAATATAATATAATATAATAAATTACTTGACTCTCCGTAAAAAAAAATTTTTTTTGAAAAATAAAAATAAAAAATTTTTTTACTCTTGGGAAAAATTTTTATATTTTTATTTTTTTTTCTTTAGTCTAAAAAAAAACTATTCTATTTCTTGTAAATTTTGAAATTAATTATCTGAACTTTTTTGGTCCTATCAATGATATTTATCTTTTCTTCTTTTCATTTTTAATAATAATTAATAAATAATAATAATAAGGAAATAATAAATTTAAATAATAAAAAAATTTAAAAGGTAAGAAATCATTTAATATATTACGTATATAACATATATATAATCTAATGTTCATAAATTCTCGTAAAACTTCAATCAATATTACACGTGTATTAAACGATATTTTCTATAGCTTCGTTCTTCTACTACTTCTGAATACCCATCACCATCATAATCAAACGTAATAATATGTCAAATAATTCTACTACAAGCGATAGTGTACTTAGTATTAAAAATATAATATCTGAAGTCGGTTCTAATTCTCAACAACAACAACAACACCACGCGTCGCCTACCATGTCTTCTTTACCTTATAGAACTAATAATACTGGTGGTTATCATCATAATGAACAACAAGGTAGAGATTATTATCAACAGCAACATCATCAACAACCTCCCCCTCCACTCCCTCAAATGTTAAATACACATCAACATTCACCACCTCCACCACAGCCACCGTTACAACAATATGCATATAGAAATGTAATTTCTGATGAAGCTCCTCATCATAATCATCCTTCTCATCCTCCAAATTCTCAACTTCATCATCATCAACAACAATCACCATATTATCATCCTCATCATCCTCATCATCCATATAATAATAATGCTCCTTATAGAACCAATCATGATCATCAAAATGAACAACAACAACAAGTTGCTGGTCGAGACTATTATCATCCTCATCAACATCCTCACCAACATCCTCACCAACATCCTCATCAGCATCATCCTCATCCTCCAATGTTAAATCCACAGCAACAAATTTCTAATAATGCAACAAATAATGGTGGCGATTATAATTTTAGAGATAATATAATATCTGACGATGGCCCAAGTAATAACGATGATGCTTGTAGATCTAATAATCCTAACAATTATTCAAATGAACAACAAGTAAGAGATTATCCTCCACAACAACCCACTGTTCATAACCATCAAAATCACCAAAATCATACGCCACCACCGCCTCCTCCTCCACAGCAGCAACAACCACCACCACAACCACCATCATCAAATAACATTCTACAAGAGCCAACGAATCGTCAATCTTTTTCAAATGAGGATTCATTGGCTAATGTTTTGTTACTTTTAGCTAATCAAAAAACTACTACAACCAATAACAACAATACTACAGCCAATAATATTACTACTAATCATATATCCGATGTTGAAGTAGCAGCAAATGCATTGTCAAATATTCAAAATGATTCTAAACTACAACAACAAATTAATAATAATAATAATAATAATAATAATAATAATAATAATATTAATAATAATAATAATAATAATAATAATAATAATAATGTTAGTATTATATTAATAATATCATTTATTATATTGCTTTACTAACTATCGATTTTATTTTACTATTAATATATATTAGCCAAGACCAAGAGCTAAAAGCAACCCAATGTCAATATTGTCATTACTAGGTTGGTCTTTAAATAAAATAAAATGAATAATAATAGTGATAATAACATCTAACAAACATATCATATTTACTTAAAGGTGGTGATGAACCTAATACTTCTTCATCAGAACAGGCAAATCAAGTATCATCATCATCAGGAACTTTAATGGTTAATATTTCATTTATTTATTTCTTTTTTAAATTTTTTCTTGAAAAGTTGTAATAATAATATATATATATATATATATATATATAGCAAGAAACACCACATCAACATAATGCATCACAAGAACAATATATAGAACAAAATATAAAAATTAATGATGATGATGATATAAACGTTAATTATCATCACCACAGTCATCAAAATCAAAATCAACATAATCATAGTGATAATCAGCAACAACGACAATATAGTCCGTATAATAATAATAATAATAGTAATAATAGTAATAGTAATAATAAAAAACATTCAAGGCGTTCATCGGTAATTAACAAATTATATATATATATATATATATCTAGAATAATTCTTAGTTTTCTTAATTTAACATTTGAAAATTTTTTATTATAAAAAAAAAGAATAATTCATCGTCATCATCAAATTTATCAATAAGTACAGCAAAAATTCCACAAAAAGAAGCAAAAATAATTCAAAAGAAAAGTAGTCCACAAAGAAGAAGAGCTTCAGATGCTATTCCCATCGATTCAAGTAAGGAATAAAAAATAATATTGATATAATATATATATATATATATATATAAATTTATAATTATTAGTTCACAAGTCAAAAGTTCATTATAGTAATTCAGATCTTATAATTTATATAGGGCCACCCTCAATAAATGCATCAAAATTATCTGAAGTGCGTGAACAATTAGGCGAAGAGAAAAAAACAAATCATCCTTTAATTGCTCCACAGCTGTCTTCTACAATGTCACAAGTAGCAGGCGGACAACCAAATCCTTACTATAATATGGAATGGGAAAGAAATTCGCAATCATCACCACCACCACCCTATCATCAACATCAACAACAACAATATCATCAACAACAACACCATCAAAGACCACCGTCAATAGATGGTGTAGATATACCACCTTTTGAACAACAACATCCTCATTCACAACATCCTTCTTCAAATATTTATCTACAACAACAATCTCAAGGAATTTCATCATCACCACCGCCACCACAACCACCTATAATTAACAATGATCCAAAAAACAAACATTTTCAAATTGGTCCAAATGAAAGAATTCATCCACCACAAAAAGTATCTCCGCCACCACCTCCTCATCCTTCATATCACAATCACCATCATCACCATCCTTCAATGATACCACCTCCACTTCTACATGCACATTCACATATTTCAAACGGGTACACAAATGGTTATCCAAATGGACCCATGAATGGTAATATGATAAGAAATCATATGGTAATTATAAATACTGTTTTGCTATTGATTATATTTATATATTTATTAAATACTTATGAACTTATTAATTAATTTGAATTATATCGTATATTTAGGAATTACCACCACATCAAATATCACCTCAAAATGGTCATATACGTAATAATATACCAAGCGCTTTTGATCAATTTCCTAGAAAATATCATGATATGGTATTTATTCATAATATATAAAAAATTGTTATAAATAAGATATGATCAAACTAATCGAGCGTTTTTTTAGAAGCATGACCCTAAATTAAAACGGAATGCAACACATGCTTACATTACTTATATGATTTATACAAATCAAACGGTAGGTTGTCTGGTTTTGAAGATACTATACGCACTTTTATTTATATGTGTGTGTGTGTATTTATTGAAAAAATTTTTTTTAACAGGAAAAAAATAAAGATGGTCAAATGATGCCACATCCACCACCGCCACCGCCAAATACTATGATACAAAATCGTCATCTAATAGGATCCTCACAGCCGCCGCCACCACCACCACCTTCTGTTAATGGTAATGGTTATGGCAGTGGACCTAGCAATAATAGTAATCATCATCATAACCCTCATCCTCATCCTCATTCTCATCATTATTATAGTCCTACAACAAATAATGTTCCTCCTATAAATGGTCCAAATGTTTATCCCTATTAAACAAATAATACATATATTATTGCAGTAGGACAACTTATTTTTATCAGTAGATTTGACAAATATATAAAATTATTATTTATTATTATTATTACTCATAATGTTTTGTTTGATATATACATGCATACAAATACACATTGCATTCATCCATTCATGAACAATTTTATATATATATATATATATATATATATATTAAAAAAACAATAATTACTATTCAATTCAATTAATTAATTAATTTTTTTTGATATATAATCTTTTTTATTTTTATATAAATCATTTTTTTCTTTACTTGTTTTTGTAAATTTTTCTTTTTTCTCTTTTTAATTATATTTTAGATTGGGTTTTTCAATAATTTTTTTTCTTAATATTTTTTTTAAAAAAAAATAATAAATAAATGAATAAAAAATAAAAAGCTTATTAATTTTTTCATGGAGGAAAAACTCGGACTAGTCCGAGGTTGTCCCACACATATGGATTATAAAGTAGGTGGTTATGTTTTTTATGAACTAATCCGGAATGTTTATGGGTTAATTTGTAAGCAAGCCCAATGGATTAATTTGTAATAGTAAGATTAATGTGAGATCGATTCGGAAGATTTTATACTTTTAATTGTATTAATTAAAACAAATTACCTACCATAAATATCCGACCACCCAAGTCGTGTAACGTCAAATGAAAAGTGTCCTTACTAAAAAAGTAACTTTTTTCTTAAATAAAACCTTTTTTACTTTACTATGTAGACCTGTACTTGATATCAAAATCTCTAAATTACAAAAATTTCGAAAGGTATTAATGGAAACATTTAGCAAATAGTCCAAAAAAGCAAATTTTCAATCGGAACCTTTACATGTAATAAAGTTTAATAAAATATGCTCAACGTAACAGATTACATATATCTACAATATGGTGTTGGCATAAATTAGTTCGTAAAAAGGGTTTAAAAAAATATCCGACCACCCGTAATATTATATAAAACACTTAATAAAGTTGACAAAATGCAAATTTTAAGGCTTTACGTTTTGTTTTCTATACTTGATCAAATTTTCTCAAATCTTAACCATATACAATTCAAGTTATTTTAAGCGGGCTTACTTAATGACGTAATCCATGATTCAACGGAGTTTTGAAGGTTTTTACTAAGCTTAAAGTTTTCATAAAAATCACGGAATTTTTTGTCTAATTTAAAATTTTCATCCTAAATTCATTATTAATGCAAACTCAACGAGACTTTAAGTTTATATGCAAATTAACTTTAAAAAACATGTTTACTTAATGCATCAGTCCCGGTTTGATTAATAAAATTTTGAATTATCATCAGGTGGTGGATATTTATGGTAGAGGAGTGTACATGCCAATTATTATATAGAAAAACACCTTCATTTAAGAACAGCATCTTTATAAGAACATTATTAGAAAAGCCACTCGCTATGTTTCTGACAGTATTATTATATAGAGGTACCACTGTATATGATTTATGATTTTTTTTATAAGATTACAACTATAATTAAATTTATACAATGTCTCAATATGATGGTTCTTGTCAAAATATCAATGCAGTTGTCACAATAGAAACAATGGATTTTACGCTACCTCAAGGATCTAATTTTTTCCTTTGTATTTATACCTATTACTATGTACGGAATAGGCACTTAATAGATACGGAATGAATTAGAAAACCTCATTTTTGATACAGAATATATACTAATACTAACACTAATACGGAATCATTATGGAATATTTTAGGAACTATTGTTTCCGTACATGAAAGAATGCATTTTAATTTTAATATTGATATTAATATTAATACGGAGTACATGCGAGAAAATGTCCTCAAAAACGTTCCGTGAGTATTCCGTACCGTTTATATTTTAGTACAGAAAGGCACATCAGTATCAAAAACGCGTTTTTCCAGTACTATTTCCGTATATAATTTTTTATAGGATAAGGAATATAGTAATAGGGATATAATCGATCCCTTAATATAATGATCAGACTGGCGGATAGTTTTTGATTACGGATCAAAATTTCAGAAATTACTATTATTATAGAATATCCGAACGATATAAAATTTATTTTATTATCATTATTGTTTATTTTTTGAATTAATTCAACGTTTTTTCACTTCGTCTTTGTAATGCTCAAATACGGTCAAATAAACATGACTTGCGTACTAAGTGAAAGTTTTCACACAAAATATTGCAATGATGTCATAGTTTTGCACCCGAAATAAATTTATTGCTCGAACACGTCGCGATTTTTCGAATTTGTGCACGTTTAAAAATGACTTTTGCAATTCGTCTTTGAAATACTCGAAAACCATCAAGTATACAAGTCTCGCATATTAAGTAAAAGTTGTTCCTCATGCCAAAAACTGAGTCGCTTTAAACTCAGTTTGTAGAAAACCGATTGTAAATTGCCAGAATTTTAAAAGTCGTTCTTTCTTTGCTTTAAATCTGACTTGGTTTTTAGATTACAAAAACATTTTGAGCTTTGTTTCATCTATAAACAATGCCTTTTGTTCTTTTACTTACATAATGTGCACATCCATTAAACTAAATTTATGAAATTATTGCTATTGCAGTGCTTTTAATAATATTTATATCATAATTCAAGGTAAAGAATTTTGTTGAATCCCACGAATTATCCAATGAAATCCGACGGATGTGTTTTCTGTACAATAGTAATGAATGACTTGGCGACGGATTAAATTTTAGAGGCAAAAGGCTGACGGACAGATGTCCACGGATCGCATTGCTAGTTATAATCAATTCCTTTTTAATCTGTTGGGTTAATCACATGATATTACAATTTTCTGATTATGGAGAAATTTATTTTTTATTTCATTGAAAAATAATATTAAAGGGAACAAATGATTGGTTTTTTCATTGACTTAAATTGGATGGATTAATTTCAAAGATCATATTTCATCAAAAAATCCCATATTGCATAATTATAAAAGAATGAATTTTTTTTTTTAATATACTTATGTAATTAATTGCAAATATTCAAATATAAGGTTTAAACCTTAACAAGAAATTTTTTTTCTTTTAAATGGAATTCCTTATAAAAAATTAAAATTATGATATGCAATTTTACATTATGTAGGGATCCACAGTGAAGTTTCATCCCTATCACACTTATCTCAGGGCGACTCTTGCCACACTGCCCCGCATACGCTAAAACCCTTACCTTATCTTTTTATACCCAATCAAAATAAAGACGGGGTTTAGTGTACCCAGGCAAACCCGAAAATTTTCGGTCAGATAGCTCCTCAATTAGTTGCAACTAAATGCGGCATATGAAAATTGAATTGCAGCTAATTGCAGTTTCCATATTTAGTCGAACCGAACCCGAAAACTTTTTTGAACTGTACCAATCATAATTGAGGTCAAAATTATTGAAAATTTGCATTGCACCACCTATCATTCGTGATGCAAGATGCAGGGACTTAATTCGTGGCGCATGACAATTTATTAACCAACAAAACCTTTTTTGCTATGAACATTGATGTTACATTAAAACTAAAAGTTTTCATGTAATAAATAAAGAGTTTTATACTGAGTTAATTCCTACATACATTACGAATTGCGTCTTGTGTAATGATGGCGACCGAAATTATTTAGCAAATCCGAACTAGTTTCGCCCACAGAAATTAGGATTTAGGGTTTTAAACTAGTGACGAAACTTAAAATTGTTTAAACTGTGGGCGAAACTTTTAAACTGTCAAATCTACGAACAAAGTTTATATTGTGATAAATAAAACAGATTTATCGAAGTACTGTCCAACCGTATGTCGGGCACGTAATCTATATGGTCTTTTTTTCGGTTTTATTTTTTTATTAATATTTTATATTCGCATTTTATTATTTAATACTGTATATTAATTACAAAATAATTAACTTTAAAAGAAAAGATTATCGTAAAAATAATGTCACTTTTTGACCTAATTCAATTTGTAATAATAATAAACATTTTTATAATTTAATAATAAAACAAATTAATTCTTCATTTTTGTAGTCGGAAATTAAACAGTAATAGTAGGGTTTTAATTGTCCGTTTGGTTTTCGTCAATTTCTCTAGAAAATTTTCATGGGCGAAATTAGGCTTAAACTATTGGTAGTCTTATGTCTTGAACTATAATGAATTACGTCTTGCGTCACGAATTGCGTCTTGCATCTCTCGTATCACGAATTATGTTTTGCGTCATGCACAACACCAGTTGCAGCTTTTAAACCAATATAACTGTTTCACTTTTTATATTTAATTAATAAAATTAGGCGAATAAAATTTATCTAAATCTATGTAAATCGTAAAATTTTCTTACTAAACCCGAAACCAACCCGAATTTTCGAGTCGGTTTCGGGTTTGCCTTTAAAACATTCGGGCTGGCGCTTAACCAACCCGTTTGGGGTTTTAGGAATAATTAATTGAGAATTTTAAATTAATTAAAAATTATTTATAGATTTTTTTTTGTTTTGTCATTTGTTATTTTTATGTTCCTAGAATTTGATAGTTAATTGGAACGATTACATACATTAATAAATAAATAAATAGTTTGCATAAGGTAAATCTACTTTATTTTAAAGTTTGCAACACGAATATTTGAATCGCGTGACACAATGAGTTTTGGCCATTTAATTATTGTTATGAAGTAAATCGCTATTATATTTTCTGCAAAAAATTTTTATTATAAAATAAATCCTACATTTTCAATTTATACAGTTTAAATGAATTGGTTGAGACCCTTCTTTCTAATAATAATAATAATAATAAACAAATATTGATTTAATAGCCAATTATTTAATCGAGATTTCCGCGTGGAAATGGAGCTTCGAAGCCTGCAAAAGGGCCTTTTGTATAAAATATCATTGGACGATATTCTGGCTGTTCATCCATAACTCTAAATAAAAAAAATAATGATACAATTAAATATTTAGTCATTTGCGATTTAATCCATTATTCTTTAATTTTTAATTAATTACCGAGAGCTTTTGAATTTTTCGATTAAAGCTTTTTTTCCCTGAACATTTGCATAAGAAAGCTCACAACGTTTATCGCTATTAAAACGACCCCATTTTTTACCAACGTGAAGTTGCGCAAATGAAATTACCGCACTTATATATATACATACATGTGTATGTATATATATATATATATATGTTTAGTACTAAGAAAAAAAATATATTTAAAATAATAGTGATATTAAAAATTACTTACTCTACTGATGTGAAATTAATGAATGCATATCCAACATTACATTTATTTTTAAAATCAATTCGTAAATAAACGAAATCATATTGACCTCTATGTGTTTCGTTAAGCCATTCTAACAACATTTTCTATTTTAACATCGTTAATATCAAAAAATAATTAGTGAACTTTAAAAAAAAAAATCAATAAAAAATATTTTATATATATATGTACTTGTGTGTATTTGTTTGGAATATTTCTAATCATAAATGTTGTTCTCAAGTCAAAACCTATATATAATAATTAATATTAAAATCACCATAGTGTTACCACCAATAAAATTTCAATCATTACCTTGTCTTATGTTTTCAAAATCTACAGTATTTTTTACCGGGATTTCTCTATTTCCCGACGAGTACATTGAAGCCGTTGTTAATAATGATGATAATAGAGTTGATGTTCTAGTAGCAATTGTTGGTAATGATGATGTTGTTGTTGTCGTTGTTGTTGTTGTTGTTGTTGTTGTTAATTTAATTTCTGGCATTTTTGAAGATAATGATGATGGTTCATGAGATAGTTTACCTTGACAAATGATGGCTTTATCATCTTCATAGTTGTAGTTGTAGTTATTATTGTTTTGACAGCACATCATCTCAGATGCAATATCCCACGATTGTGAATTGCTATCATAATAGTCGACTTTAAGAATAGCTTCCTATTTTATTTTTATTGGTAGTAATAATAATAACTATCATGATGAGTTATTTTTCATTTTGAAAAGACTAAATTAATAAAATTTTGTGGGAATTTTATATATGTGGGTATGTGTATATACGCGTACTTGAATCTGTTTTCCATCCACTGTCTTTGCAGCATATGCAGCACGTACATCATAATATTCAATTTGAAGTACTCTGATACCTTCAACATAAAACCAATATTCCTCACGTAAAGCTCCATATTCAACAAACAAATTCCTAATTTCCGTATCATTTGCACGTCCAATGATATATATTCTCAAAATCCCTTCATTTTCCCAATCCCAATCATTTTGCAACTTGTAAAATTATTATTATTATTATTATTATTATTATTATTATTATTATTGGATTTGATAATTTGATATTTATATATTGCAGGTTGATCTGAATATTTTTTACCTCAATATTTTTCAGGCGAGAGCAAAAATTAACATTTAATCGATTATAATTATGCGGTGCAATTACATACTTAAGTTTTTTCTGTGCGTGGATAGCATCACGTAAATCATAGTAGTGAATAAATACGTTGTTGTTATCTACAAATATTTCATGAACATTTCCAAATAACTTCATTTTTTTAAAAATAAACAAATAAATTAGCATAGTTACCATGTTAAAATAATTAATCAATTAATTACCTCGAATATCATACGAAAGGCTTCCCATGTATTATTATTATAAACAGGAAAATTTGTTACATTTAACCATCTTGAAGGCGAAGAACCCCAATTACATTTGTTGTTACATGCTAATGGTGAAATTGGTTGTTGAGCATTATTATTACTAGCAGTAATATAATTAAATTCTGGACTGAAGCTGAATAAACATTGACCAAGTTTTGTTGTTTCAATATATTCCTCAACGCCAAGTTTTTCTTGTGGGAATTCTAAACAAAGGCGTGAGATTTGATCGGAAAATTCATCGTTGAGAGTAATATTGGTTGGATTAATTGAATGTTTGGATTGTCCTTCATTAACAATTTCATTATGTTTAGGATAATTTAAAGGTGCGTTGTTGTTGAATTCATTTAAGTTTTCATTGTTTTCTATTAAAAAGAAAAGACAAATCCAAAAAATAATAAGTGTATAAACTTATTATTATTTCTTTGTTAGAGGATTTTTATTAATTAACAATTAATTACTTGATGGACGGTTGAAATCAAGAACACCATTGCAAAACATCAAAACATCGAGTGATTGATAAATATTATCGAAATCATCAAGATCTTTTGATTTTGTTAAAAAAATAAATAAATAAAGTTATGGATAAATTTTTCGTAAATGTCATAAATTGTGTATAGGATTATATTTAAAACAAAGTGTTACCTATAAAAAGATTCATAAAAATAAATAATATATTTGATGATAAAAAATATTTAGTAAATCATATGTAATATTTAGAGAAGTTCACGTGAATTGAATAAATAAATAAATAACCTTCATTATTAATCATTATTGCGGAGTTGTGGTCTTCAGTCTTCACATTATAAGAAAATTTCGTGGAACAATAGTGATAAATGTGTGAAAACGCGTTTTACATATGTAAATTAATATATATGACTTCTTTAAAGAAAACAGGCTCACATAAAACGCAAAATTTATATAATATAAGGAACTAAGTCTATAAATACCTTGTTAGACATGCTGCTTGAAGAAGAAGACGAAGAAGGCGAGGAAGTGAAGTCAGAACCAGAACCAGAATTAGAATGAGGTAAAGGTTTCAACGTAGGAGTTTTGCTGGTGTAGACAGCTTCAAGTACATCTTCAACAATAGAATTTTTTGATATATTATCGGTTGGACTGACATAAGCTTGTTTAAAAGATGTTTTATACATTTTTTTTTTATTGTACTTTTCATTCATTAAAAGAATTAATAATATTTGGGAAGAGAGTAAAATTTTATAATTTGATTTTGGAAAAAAAAATCCAATAAAAGTTTTTTTGAAAAAGTCGCGAAATGTCAATTTATATATAAATTATTTGAAGTGAATAAAAAGAAAGCTTAACAAAAAGTAAAATTATAAAGTCAAAAATGGCGTAGTATGAATTATTTGTTTATATATTGTTAAAATCAAACTCATAAAGTTAGCTGTATTACACACACTTATACGTCATTTATTGATTGATAAAGTTTTTTTTTCAACTTTAATGTAGATCTACTTCAATAGTAATAATGGTAATATTAAAAAATAAATAAAGTGACAAAATCTGATTGGGACAAAGGGTAGGAAATTTTTACTGAACTTGAAACCCATCGCTCGTCGTATCCCACAGTGTGAGCGGCAAGCATACTGATGATGTTATTCTAAATAAATTTGATCAAAATTTTTTAATAAAAAAATTTTTTGCATATTTTCCCTCAAATATATAGAAATTCCGAATAATTTTTATAAATATCTAGAAAAAAATAATTCGACCACAATGGTAATTCGACTGGAATTATGGATATTCCTGCTTGGATTATTTTTTCTTTAGTTCTAGATTTCTCAAAACTTAACTTTATTTGTCGCTATTCACTCAACTCACTGATCATCTGTCACGATCCTATATACATACAATATTTGATATAATACCTTTTCGAGGGGGTTTTCCTACACTTTCTGTATAAACTAACTCAAGGATTTGCTTACGTAAATAACAAGTTAACTTGCAGGTGCATAAAAGTCACATCTCTGTAGCCTTAATTTCAATTATGGCATCTTGATGGATAACGATAAATTTACTCGATATTTACCACGACAACAAATAGTATGGTATTGTGACTTATCGCCATAAGCGTAGATAATATGACGCTAAACTATTTTCAATCGTTGGGCCGGTTGACTGATCTTATGATCAACTTAAAAATGGAAAAATCATGTTAAAATTTCAATAAATGGAACAATCTTTAAACATTCTAATGTAATTAATAGCAAGCTCATTTTACAGCTTTAAGGTAATATTAGTAAAAATCTATATAAAGATTTATCGATTATAACCAAATGACGTTACTAATTATGAAAAGTTCATAAATAAACTATCAAGAATCTCTATACCTATTCCATGTATATTATCAAGTTTGTATACTCAATTATTCTTGTTATATCGTATGGAATTATCAACTTATTAAAAACATTGAAATTGGACGTTCCAAAATAAACATACTAATACAACAAATTACTTTGGACTCAATTATTTTTGTGCCTTTGTGTCCTTTTGGAACGGCTTTAACATACACAAGTAAAAAATATTCTCGATTTTCAAGTTTGTCACTGAATGATTTAGACATTATATAAATGGTCTTTTTATCATCTAAATGTTTCCTTGATTTTGTTTTAGATTGGGCCAGCAGATGTATATAATATAAATTTTCTTTAAAATCATCACGTGTAGCTAGTTTTGCAATCAAAGACTTGAATTTCCCATATATATACATATATTATATTTTGCATCATATTCAATTATACGAACGGAGTGGAAATAGGAAGTTAATCATCGTCACAAATACTATACGTCTAAAATTTTGTTTTTCCCACCCGATATCAATCTTCGTGTAACGATGAACACATTGATGTGTAACACTGTAAAACCATTTTTTTAAAAAATAATCTCACTAAACAAAAAACTTCTCACTATATTAAACAAAGAATGTAAAGTCATGCTAGGAATTTCAAACGACTATTAAATCAAGAAGTTAGCTTGAGTCTATGACAGCTCGAAGGTATTGTTTTCGTTGACAATCATCTCAAGATTTTCTTACGACTATCAGAGGGAATAAACCAAAAAACAACGTAAATTGGTGTACTAGAATGTGTGCTTTACAAAGTTTGTTGAGAACTATTTGAAGGTTAGATTAGAAATTTTTGATTTTATTTGTAAGGAGTTGAAATTCTATTTGACGTAAGATATTTCTTTAACAATTACAAAAGTCAATTAATATTAATTTGACGATCGGGTCGTACATACTAAAAAATAACCAATCGAGTACCTCTGTATGAAAAATTGTACTATATATTTGTTCCTCAAGGAACTTCGGCAAAGTTTTCTACGTATAACAGGTTCTCTATTCTTCAAAGACTTATTGGGGTCACCAAGTAGATGAAGAATATATCCTTTGAGAAAAAAAACTTTGTGATTATTAGATTTGGTGACATTTAGCCGGAGAAAGGTTATTATGCTTCTCATGTTAGCATATTATAACATGATTGAGAATTACATCTAGAAGTTTTTTTCATAAGGCTATAAAATTTTCATAAGAAAAAACTTGCTAATGAATATATAATATTATATGTTTTATTGAATATAATATTCAATTTATAGTCTTTTTACGTTGAAGTTAATAATGAGCTTACTCTTATTGCAGCTTCTTTTTCATATTGTTGATTAAATCTTGAAATCCAACTCTTAATTTGGGTACTTCAGTTTCACCATCATCACTCGTTTTTCAAACATATCTTTAGCTGTCAATTTCATATTTTTATTAATATTACCTTTGAAAAAACATTACTTTGAGCCTCTCAACAATTTCTAAATTTAAACATTGATCACTGCCTTTCTTCCAACGCAATAAATTTTTTCTCTATTAAAAATTTTCTAATAATATTGATATTTGAATTTGTGGTAAAATTTTCATTATTTTTTTATTATTCACTTATTACTGTTGGTTATCATGATTCATATAATTTATATTTCTGGAAATGAAATTTTATCTACATCTTGTAATCCACTTTTAATTTCATTTTTAGTTCCTGTTGAAACTATATCATTTTCCTTTAGCAAGAATTCTAATATCAGTAATTGGCATCTTTTGGATATTGAAATCTAAATTATTAGTTTTAATTAAAAAAAAAAGAAAATTTCCTCCATATAAATGTTGATCTTTCACTCTTCATGGATGGATCATCAATTAAAGGGTAGGAACAGTATCAGAGAATAATAATAGTGTTATTATTATGTTAAATGTATATTATAACATTCAGGACACTTTAAATTTCAAAGTAGTATATTAAAGTATACATATCCTTATTAAACAACTAAATCAAGAAAACTACCAACCACCTCCTGACACTAATATTAACACTCAAAATCTTTTGATATAAAATGATTTTAATTGAGGCATCTGTTTTTGCATGTATTTATATATAATTATATACAAACAGAATTTGCATTAAATAGGAAATCACATTTTGTTCAAGGATGTCTGGCTTGGTTAGGGCCTTCATCAAACCAAAGTTTGTCTCTTAAACCAAATCAAAATCCAAACCACCATCAATGGTGACAAAATAAATTCAACCTTATTGCGAATTTTGCTATCATGATTGGCAATACAACAATGACAACAACAATAATAACAATACTACAAGTTCATCATCCAAATCATCCTCTATTTAGAAAAATGTCATTAAATTAAGTTTACAAGGGTTTGATCCAAACTGGTTTAACTGCGGTATAATTTATACATTCAAAAACTAGTCTGTTCTTATTTTGATTAGGTAAAAATGTAGTATCTTATACTAAAAAGGATATGAGGAGGTTTAATGTAACTGAGGTAGGGAATAACTGATATATATTGTATACAACAATTTCTACTAAACAATAATGATGATTTGATGGTGAAGGATAAATATCAAATGAATTAAATTATTAAAAGAGAAGGTATTAAGGCTACCACTGTATAATAAACCCATGCTTGATAAAATAAAATCATATATTTATTTAGAAATAAAATGAGTGATTGATTGTCATCATAAAATTTAGCCAATGAAATCTAATGTCAACTATGCACCTCAAATCTCATGACGCAAATTATCGAGGGTGCGGAAAAAAATTGGGTAAAGTTCCAGAAAGAAAAAGGCAAAAAAGAAAAATTATTAAAAAAATTAAAATCTCAAACTGTTCATGTTGGTCCTTTAACTTGATTAATAGTTATTGATGCTAATATATATAATGCAAATAATATTGATAATATATCAATATTGTTACAAGTATGTAAATAAAAAAATCAATGAAGGTTATTATTTTATAACTTGATTTTATTTTTTTGTGACACGCATTATTGAAAAAAAAATTTAACAAGAAAGCTTTAAATAGTCGTACATCTTCCAAAATTATGTATAATGTGTATTTTAACTGCAAGCCTACCAAAAATAATCAATAGCTTCAAATTATAATCATAAAGTTACCATATAAACTTCTTAATAATCAAAGTTGCTCGTCATCCATCAGGGATCTCGTTATTAATATTAAAATGCTTGATAAATTCAACAATTTCTCTCTTTTTTATGGCGTGATGGACCATGTTTGCACTATCACAAACCAGCAGGAGGCATAATATAATCATTTATCTATATAGCAGTTAAAAAATAATGTAATACCTTAATAATACATGTATTAATAAACCACTTTTTGTGTTAATAGATTGTCATATACTGTAAATATATTATTGCATTATACAATGTGGATTTTTCAATACAGTTTGTCTGCACAGGATCTGTTGATTAACATTTTTTTGGTGTTAAAAAACAGGAATGTTTTTCAACGCTATTTGACACATCTAAAAATTTCCTGATGTAATTAATTGCATATTTGTAGAATGATTCCAACTATTAATTTGGTTTTTCAAAGCAAATAAAAATCAATATAATTATATGCTTTAAATCATTTTATTGCCACTAATCTTTGCTTACTCAAGAATGTAATATATATTTTGTTTAAAATAGATGAATGAATATGATATATTCTGAAGATAATAAAATCAATTCTTTAAAATTTTTAAAAAGAAAATTTGCAAAGATATTATAAAAATAAGTTTATATTTATTTTCTAAAAATATTCTATAATTTATCAATTAATTGAA